GGGTCATACAGCTCTCAGAGCTCATCTGTTCAAGATGAAACTTGCAGAACAAGAAGACTGCAGACTGTGCGGAGGCGATAAGGAGGGCGTCATCCACATTTTATGTGAATGCCCCCTATTAGCACTCCGTCGCTATAAAATCTGGGGCCAGGCTTTCCTGAAACCAGAGGACTTACAACAAGCGGCTGTCACCAGCCTTATTAGCCTAGTGAGAAACACAGGGCTGGGGCTGTGTGACTGACCGAAACTAAGGCGGAAGTTACAAAAGATCGTATGATTTAGGTGACTCTGGGCGCTTTAAGTGACCAGCCGCACTTTTTCTATTCTTCTTCTATTATTGATTCTCAATGATTCTGAATTAGAGATGTAAAATGGCAGTCATTTTTGAGATCGCGTCATGTGACCAAAAAATTACGGGCATGTGACGCACGAATTTCGTAACTACACACGATAATTTATAAGCAAATTGTTGTCAAACCATCTATATGGATACATAATCACGGTAAAACTCATTTCTAATTTGTGACTGTCATAAATCACATAGCTTCATCTCTAGATAGATGTAAAATCACCGTAATTTTTATTTCAAAATGCACATTAGGCTAATGCAAAATGAATTCAAAGAAAAAATGACTGTTATTTTTTCTTGGCCTATTGGGACGGTCATAGAAGGGGGGGGGGGGAATTGTGACAGTTGTGGAAAACGTCTCGTCATATGACCATCGATGATGGGTCATGTAATGCATTCGCAGCTCTATCTGAATCTTAGTTTAAAAAAAAAACGAATTCTCAACTCTGTGGAAAGGTTGAGTGTAAATTGAAAGGCAATTGATGATAAAAAATTCAATTTTCAAAATACAAATCTGAAAATAAATTGAGAGACAATTGAGAATCAAAAATCCCATTGTCAAAAAAAATCCAGTTCTCAACTCTCAGAAAAACTTAAGATCAGATTGCGAGATTATTCAGAATCAATAATCCAATTTTCAACTCTAAAAAAAAGTTGGGAGTAGATTGAGAGATAATGGAGAATCAAAAATTCAACTCTAAACTTTTTTTACGAATTGAGAGTTAGATTTATTGAAAGAATTCGGAGATTTTCATTAATTAAAAAGCACTCAGAAGTTTTGTGGCCGTTTCNACAAACTTTTTTTGCGAATTGAGAGTTGGATTTTTTTCTTTTTGAAAATCGGATTTTTGATCAGAGAATCGGCGAATTTTCTCAAAAATTTTCTATATTGGCGGTTTTTCCGAAATTTAGCGTAAATACGGTGATTTTTATTTGTATTGTTTTTTTTTGTTTTTGACAATTATTATTATTATGATTATTATTATTATTATGATTATTATTATTGTGGCGGTTGTAGGGTGGTGGAATACGGAGTGTTGATCCATTTCCAAGAGTGGGAGTGAGATGCACGAATGCTTGGTACCCGTGGGCCCTCATTGTGTTACACTCCTGGGGCCATATTCTCGACGTTAGTGAATAGTCCTTCGTCCACGAATCGACGTTCGTTGACGAACTGCGTATAGTAGTTGTATAGCACATTCGTTGACGATCGCCGATTCGTGCACGAAGGAGAATTCACCAACATCGAGAATAGGGCCCCTGAGCTATCTCGCTCGACAATCCTCAGATCCGTGTTTCAACATTCGGGGATGTCGGTGGCGTCATCTGGCACATTCCAGTGTAACTGAGGGAAACAGTATGGCGACAGCTGATCGCAAAGAGGATAGACCTGAGCAGAGGCCCGGATCGGGGTGTTTGAATGACTCCAAAAATGTTAGTTGGTAACCCACGGGAAAGGCGGCGTCCCGGTCGAATTGTCGGTAAATGTGAGCCGGGTGCGTGAGTAACTCGGCAGTAGCAGTTCTGCTGTGACAGGGACAGGTTCGGAGGGGGACTTTTGTCCTCCTTGTACTCAATGTTTACTTTATGTTTTTCAGTTGATATATTCGCCGACTAATTAATATTAAGGGATGAAACAAAGACTGTTCAATGGAGAATTAAATTCGCCATCCATTAACCCCCGTTTCATCCCTTAATCTCTGCAATAAAAAAATTAATATTGCGACGAAAGTCACGGCGCTATAAGAAACCCAATGTTTTCTCGGCGCAGAGTGACTCCCCAATAATTCGCCGGCTAATTAAA